AGAAGTAGATGCCACTCCTGCTTCCAAGTTTCCTGTTTAAATAGGGGAGGTCTACCAAAACCTGTCCACCGTGGGTGACCATTCTCATATTTGATGCATCAGTGTCAGTGTTCAGCTTCACAGCAACCATGAGTTACCTCTGTACAGCAAGTGGATAGACCTATATACGACCTAGAAGAATGTTTGACCAAAACCAATTAAGACCAGTTCTGAGGGCTGTAGACTAAAATCACCCAACTTTGGCTTGGTAGCATCACTTTCTGGATAATGGTGTTTTTTTTTCTTTCTTTCTTTTCTATTTTACATGGGATCCCTGTGAGTGGGATTGACTTGACAGTATTTAACAATAGCAGGGATAAGAAAGAGAGGGAAAAAAAGGGAAGTCTTAGCTTAGAGAACACTGAATCTCTGTGTAGGAGTTAAGGTGACCAAAGCGGAAGCTATCTGGATTAAAAGAATGTCATCAGGACAAAAGAACATTGTGTCGGAGGTAAGTATGTTAACAAGACAAAAAAACCCTCTGTCTTATGTTGTACCTGTATATATGCAAAACCTTGGTTCTCCCATTGAAGCTGCCTTCTGATAAAGATGTGGTTAAGGAAACAGGGACAGTACAAATAAGAGAAGAAATGGGGGGTGAATCTCAAAGCATAGTTAACATATTTTACTGCTTATATAATGAAAACCTTCTCAATAAATGTATACTGAGGATATATACAGGCCAAGAGCACACTCAACCATGAGTTCCTCTCCCTTACCTCTTGACTAACATTTTGGGCAGTTTATTCTGTTGCTTGACACTTTCCTGCTGGTCAGATAAGTGCAACATCTCAGGCGGTGTAATTATTTGGAAACTGGTAGTGGGCAGAGTTGGGTAAAATGAGGAACAAAACGATGTCTATGAATTATACCTCTAAAAATGCTGAATTGGCAAGTGTTTCCTTACATGTTTTTAACCACAATAAAATATTTTTAACAAAAAGCTACACAATTTAAAAAGCAAACTGAAGAACTAATTAAGATTCAGGTTAAAAAGAGGCCCTTTAGAGTAGTGAGAGAAGATCTTCACTCTGAAACCGACAGTGTCCCTTTTCAGCAGGAAGTAGCTAAAAGAATACGCCGTCCCCTTTTCCTTATGAATCAGGGTGAAATCTCTCTCAGGGAGGAGTGATAGGGAATGGCAAAGGATGCACTGACAAAGGAGATGAATCAGAACAAGCACTGTGGCAATGGGACAAATAAAACAGACTTTCAAGGGAAAGAAAAAAAAAAGAGAGGAATGAACTTGTGGGGGGGGGGTGGTAGAGAAAATAGTGCAACAATGAATGAATGAAAATAAAAAAAAATTTTGGTTAAGAAGGACCTGAGGGCAAGGTTTGGGATGAAGATAAAGTTCTGGCACTGGTGATAGTCATGAGCTTGGCAAAGAACCAACCTTGGTGATAGCAAGTTCAGGAGTGAGGGGAAGCTGATACTGGGCTTTCTTTTTTTATTAGTTGTTATTGTTGTTATGTGCCATCAGTTGCTTGTGACTCATAGCGACCCTATGTACAACAGCCCTAAACTCTGCTCTATCCTGTGCCAATAGCACTGTCTCCGATACACCCATCCCAATTACCCCAGTCACTGAATCAATCCACCTCATAGAGGACCTTCCACTCCTAAGCTATCCCTCCACCCTACCAAGCATGATGTCCTTCTCCAAGGACCGGTCCCTCCTTACAACATGTCCAAAGTATGTCAGGATCTTTGCCTCCAAGGAGCAGCCTGGTTTAACCCTTCCCAGGATGAATCTGTTTGTTTTCTTAGCAGTCCATGGTACACTCAAAACTCTTCTCCAGCACCACAGCTCAAAGTCATTAATTCTCCTTCTATCCTCCTTGGTCATTGTCCAACTCTCTGACGCATAACAAGTGATTGCAAAGGACATGGCCTGTATCAGATGCAACTTAGTCTCCAGAGAGACACCATTGCTCTTCAGTACTTTGGAGACGTCCCAGCAACAGACTTTTCCAACACAAGGTTGTTGTTGTTGTTATGTGCCGTCGAGTCGCTTGCGACTCATAGCGACCCCATGTACAACAGCCCTAAACTCCGCTCTGTCCTGTGCCAATCGCACTGTCTCCGACACTCCCATCCCAATTATCCCAGTCACTGAATCAATCCACCTCATAGAGGGCCTTCCTCTCCTGCGCCGTCCCTCCACCCTCCCAAGCATGATGTCCCTCTCTAAAGAGCGGTCTCTCCTCACAACATGTCTAAAGTATGTTAGAAGGAGCCTCAGAATCCTTGCCTCCAAGGAGCCACCCGGTTTAACCCTTTCCAGGACAAATCTGTTTGTTTTCCTAGCAGTCCATGATATTCTCAATGCTCTTCTCCAGCACCACAGCTCAAAGGCATCAATTCTCCTTCTATCCTCCTTGGTCATTGTCCAACTCTCTGATGCATAACAAGTGATTGCAAAGACCATGGCCTGTATCAGATGCACCTTAATCTCCAGAGAGACACCATTGCTCTTCAGTACTTTGGAGAGGTCCCTAACAGCAGACTTTCCCATGGCAATGCACCTTTTAATTTCCTGGCTGCTGGTGCCAAGACTGTTGACTATGGAGCCAAGCAAACTAAAGCTGTGAACAATCTCAATCTCTTCGCCATCCATCCTGATGATGCCAATTAGTCCAGTGGTGAGAATCTTTGTCTTCTTGACATTGAGCCTCAATCCATATTGTAGGCTGCAGTCCTTGGCCCTCTGCAGCAGGCGCTTCAGGTCCTCCTCAGTTTCAGCAAGCAGGGTTGTGTCCTCTGCATAACGCAGATTGTTGATAAATCGTGTTGACTGTGGAGCGAAGCAAGCTAAAGCTGTGAACAATCTCAAACTCTTCACCATCCATCCTGATGCTGCCAGTTGGTCTAGTGGTGAGAATCTTTGTCTTCTTGACATTGAGCCTCAATCCATATTGAAGGCTGCAGTCCTTGACCCTCTGCAGCAAGCGCTTCAGGTCTTCCTCAGTTTCAGCAAGGAGGGGTGTGTCATCTGCATAACCAGATTGCTGATAGCAGTATTAATTTTAATGAACGTTTACAGAGACTTTGGATTTCCATTCATTCACTGCTTCATTTTTCTACCCTGATAATGAGCTTTCTAACTGCAGAGCAGCACATTGATGTGGCTTTTCTAAGGCCTGGTCTTTATAAGGTGTCTGTGGCCCACCAAGGGCACTAGGTAACTTTCTCATAATGCAAACCAGGTGAATGGCATATTTTAGGGTTGTTCTTAGGTGCAGTTGGGTCAGTGCTACCTCAGGGTGTTCCTATGCACAAAAGCATGTCCATTCCTATGCCATCTTCATAATCACTGCTCTATCCAAGTCCATTGTTTCAGTCACCATTTCAATCCATCTCATTGAGGACCTTCCTCTCCCTTGCTGATCTGATTTTCTAAGCTTGACATCCTTTCTCCAAGATTGGTCGTTTGTGATAGTTTCTCCAAAGTATGTGAGAGAAAGTCTCCCCATGCTTCTAAGGAGCACTTTGGTTAGGCATGCCAGGTGGGATCATGCAGAAAGATGTGTTGAACACTAAACTTGGGAGTGGATTGTTTTGCCATCATGTCAGACTTAAATTGAGCCAAATGACAGGGAGGATTGAAGGAGAATTGATGCCTTTGAGCTGTGGTGCTGGAGAAGAGTATTGAGAATATCATGGACTGCTAGGAAAACAAACAGATTCATCCTGGAGAGGTTTAAACCGGGCTGCTCCTTGGAGGCAAGGATTCTGAAGCTTGTCTGACATACTTTGGACATGTTGTAAGTAGGGACCATTCCTTGGAGAGGGACATCATGCTTGGGAGGGTGGAGGGACAGCGCAGGAGGGGAAGACTCTCTATGAGGTGGATTGATTCAGTGACTGGGGTAATCGTGATGGGCGTGTCAGAGACAGTGCGATTGGCACAGGATAGAGCAGGGTTTAGGGCTGTTGTACATAGGGCCGCCGCTATTGGGTCTCAAGTGACTTGACGGCACATAACAACAACAACAGAGGAAGAAAACAAGGTCTTTTCTACCGTGAAGAAAGAAGAGCCAGGAGACCAGCGTGAGACAGAGTCACGGCCTCTGAAAGCTGAATGTTTGCTGGCACAGTGAATGCCTTTGGGCATTTGTTAGGGAGTTTCGTTTGCCAACACGAGGAGAGAGAGAGAGAGAGCTGAGCACCTCTGAGCCTAGGCTTAGTGACAGAATAGGGGGAACAAGCTTGTTCAAGTAGGGAAGAGGCTAGGTCTGAGACTGAGAGTCATAGAGAGACATTTGCGTTTTGGTACGCCTAAGAAGAGGCTGTCTTGATTGAAGAACAGTATCCTGAGTTATTCCTGAATCTGAATTTTAATTTATTACTTCTCTAATAAGCCTCATAATGGTGAGTATTGTCTGTGAGTTCTTCATAGCCATCTGTGGGAAGCCAAATTTCATACTAAATATTTATCATAAACCAAATGCTATTTCAGGATATGAGGGAGGTGGATACAAGCTGGACTTCACCCTGAAGCACTAAGGCAATTTAAATGCTCACAGGGGTAGGCACTAAGGCAAATGTTAGGCGTTTACAGGATTCTTGTCTTGTATTTGCTAACCCCTCCCTCCTGAGTCAAGCATAAGGTTTTCAATAGAAAGAGCTTAGTTTCATTTGCATAGAATTCTCTCTGTGATTTCATCCCTGGCAATTTTCAATAAAGGCACAGGGAAGCTGGGTTTTGGCACTTCAGTTGTTTGAACTGTTCACCTTCTTTGCCTCTTTTTATTTATACATTCTTGTTCTGTCTCGTCATTAATACTTGTTAATATACTTTATCCTCCGTCTACAACCGCCCTTGCGATGAATTGTCAAACCCAAGAGGGAAGTAGTGAGTATCATGGGATGGATGGTTATATCAGAATTGGTAGAAAAGGTGTTTTTGTTTGTTTGGTTGGGTTTTTTAAAGTTTTTAAAGTGAAGATTGTGGGGGCATGTCTGACATCACAAAAATTATCTCTGTACTGTTGATACTGTTAATGGAGAGCCTTTCCCCTTGTGAAATTAGTAGAGTTCAGGAATTGCTTCTCCACATCCAAGCTGTTTTTACATCACTGTTGTTATCTCCACACTGAGATCTTTTCCCACATGGATTGTGAGACCTCAGCTCTTCTCATAGGCAGATAGATGTCCATCAGAGAGATAGAGATAGAGATAGAGATGGAGATGGAGATGGAGATGGAGATGGAGATGGAGATGGAGATGGAGATGGAGAGGGAGAGGGAGAGGGACAGAGAGAGAGAGAGAGAGAGAGAAAGAGAGAGAGAGAGACTCCCTTACCTGTGCCATTTTCCCAGAACAGGCCGATGGTCACATTCTGTGGAGCATCTGGACAGAGAGAAAGAATTGTTGGGTTTTTTTCCCAGTGGCAGAAAGATGGGCATTTGCCCTTTTCTCTCAGAAATTTACGAGATAGGAAAGAGCTGCATTAATCTCATCTTCAAGGACATAGTACCAAGTATCCGAGGTTCTGTCCACTTCCGCAACATCCACTGCCCTCAGGGACCCAGAAACCCTGCCCAGCACTCACAGGACACATTGAGCTGGATGGTGCTCTCTGTGGTCACACCTGCTCCAGGGAAGGTCACTTGACAGGTAAGGTTGGTGCCGTGGTGATGTGGCTTCGGGGTGAAGGACAGTACTGAGTGACGGAGAGTCTTTGGGTCCAGGGATGTGAGGGCAACACCAATCCAAGAGAAGGTGGGGAGTGTCCCCTTCTTACAGGCCCAAGGCACCTTACAGGCTATTTCTGTAGACTTTCCAGACTCTAGGGACCTCTGGATGTGGATCTTGGGTGTCTGTGTTAGAGCTGAGAAGAGAGAGAGAGAGAGAAGAGGGGAGGGGGGAGAGAGAGGAGGGAGAGAGAGAAAGGAGAGGGAGAGAGAGGGAGAGAGAGAGGAAGGAGAGAGAGAGAGAGGAGAGAGGGGGGAGAGAGAGAGGAAAGAGAGAGAGGAGAGAGGGGAGAGAGAGAGAGGAGAGA